TTCTATCAACACGTTTCTAAATCGTCGTTGAAACTCTAGCAGAGCACCGATTAACTTCTGTATCAAACTCTAGCCGAGTATCTAAATTTTTAATTCGATATACATGCTCCAAAAGCTTACGAGCTTGTTTCTGTATCGTAATTCAGGCTCTAGCGTATTTCAATTTAGACATTCAAACTTCAGCGGTGTACAACACATTTCTATATCGATGTTCAAACTCTAGCAAAGTGCCAGTTCCTACTTCTACGTCGACATTCGAACTCTAGCAGAGTGTCATTTCATTTCTATGTCGACATTTGCACTCTAGGTCAGTGACATTTCATTACTATATCTACGTTGAAACTTTCAGACAATACCTCTATATCGGCATCCTAATTCTAAGGGAGCAGCAATTCATTTGTCGACTGAAACTTTACGATAGCACTGGTTCGAAAAATATTCGAATTTTACGTGGACTACATCATATTCCAATTTAAAATTCCTGATATCGAGAATAATTATAATTTAGAGTGAAGTTTTCGATTTCTATGTCGTCTGGAATAGATGGAAGAAAGAAAGACAAGCTCTGTAAGGGATATAGAATTATATAGGGTCGGACATTCTAGTTACTCTTTGGAAGGTTTGCAGCCAACAAATAACATCATCCAATTAACAATTTCCGATTTTAATGAAGCTTGACACACGGATCGACAAATATTACACCAGTATTTTTTAATGAGCTCATATTTATACTCGAGGGATGAAAATTACCATCAAAGTTCGTAAGCAGCAATTTGTTATTTCTACAGCTGGTACTCGTAAACAAAATATATTCGATACAGTTTCGTAAAAATCTACCCCAAGTATTTGGTTTCTTGCAATCCCATACACTGCCCTTAAACTCGAATATAATATTAAAATGGACGTACAACCTTTCCAATTTTGCTTAGACATTTTAAACTTTAACTTTCGAATTTTATAATCGGTTATTATTTCGGTAACAGTTTCATCATTCCCCCGTTTATCTATCATTTTTCGCTTTGCTTCCATTATTCAAGCAGTGCACTTGCATTCCATTAACGTTTTGGTAGGATACGCTGAATTCGGTGGGAAACGTAAATTTGACATGTGCGTACGGTGTTGGTTTTTCTTGTTATTTTGATTGCACTATTTGCATAATTCTACGTTTGGTTAATTTTGCTAATAAGATTCTTAGTTTCCTGTATATGTGTGAATAATTAGAGAGTCGAACAGAGAATTATACAGCAGCGTAACTGAAAAACTTTGTTGGCGAAAGGAAAGTAATATGATAAATGGGTAGATATAAAAATAATAGATGACACTTCGTTAGTTTTCTAATAAAAATACGGTAACGCTCGTTCGAACAATAGGAGTTTTACGACGTGGTGAAGTGGTCTTTATTAATTAAGTTACGATACTGGGGCATCGGCGTTGACAGCAAATATTTCAAGATGCTTTGTGTCTGACGTTCTCTTCGTCGTCGTAACGGTTAACGAGCGTCTGAATTTCCGTACGAGGAAACACGTAATTGTTTCAATATATAATGCATTTAGTCAGACCAGACAGCTGTTAGCCTGATATGCATCTGCATGTATTAAAGTATATGAGGTAATTGATGTAACCCGCGATATATGTATAGTATTCGCTTTGATACCACGCAGTCCTCGCGCTATAGCAATCCTGTGGAGGTGTATTAGTTTGTTCGATGTACTTATTGTAACGTTGTTATCGACGTTGTATAGTGTGTGGAGCTTTGATTATGTTACCATAAAGCTTCATATTAAATCTAGTTTGAGTGTGTATAGGATAATGAACGGCTTTCTCGTGAAGAATGCTTTGCAAGCTAATATCAGAGGTAGATCATTCCCGTCAGCTAAAAGTTTTGTGCAGAACAATAGCTCATAACTTGTGCCATTAACCTTAGGATGACTTCCGAGTTTGACTTCCCAGGTCATTCGAGACTCCTCTAGAATTTACATCGGGTTTAGATTAAACGCAGTTTTAGTATTTATGGAGGAACGATAACGTTGCTTATATAAAAGTCACTATATTATAATCGAAGTTACAACGGAAAAGCAAATAAACAGAGAAACCAGTGAAGTAAACTTGGCGTCAGAAATTTTATCGAGACCTTCGCTCAAAATGTGTCATAGTTCACTTTCTCAAAAATTAATCCATGAAGCTTTATAAAAATCGTAATAAAGTCTGAGCAGGTTGTAAAATCGGTTGAGCAGCAGAAACGTAAAATCTCCGCCTCGAGAAGTTACCCATTTAAATACTTTCCTCGGAGGATTAAGATTAGACTTACGGTATAGTGTTCGTTGAACGAAACACGATTCGAACGAGCAGATCTTTTAACTCGATTTCCAATAATGGATACCCTAGTCTACTTAAGCCGGTAAATCAAAGTAATTTCCGCCTATTTCATGTGTTTCTCTATCCATACCATTAATTTGTAGCCAAGGAACAATACTTCGGTAAGAAGTCATTTGAATTCAAAGTTACGAGCCAACGAATTTAAAAAAAATTGTATTTCGCTTTTTTTGAAAAGAATTAAAAATGTTTGTTGGCGAAGCAAATGTTCTTAGCTTCTGTGACGGATTTGTAGGTGAGAGTAAGTAGAAGAAATTTAAATTAACACACGGATTGAGAAAATTGTCCAATCCGTAAAGGAAATGAATCTGCTAACTAATTTAATAAGATTCTTAATCAGATCTCGTCTCGATTGTGAATTGGTTCGAGGGTAATAGACAGATTTGCTTGTACACTTTGGCCGAGGAAAGTAATTTCATCCGCGCGACCTATTCCGGTTTCTCGCTTAATTGTATTAATAGGACGTAAAAGTCTGCGGAAATAAATTAAAAGTAGCCGTAAGACTTCCGCTCGCGGAGTAGCCGACGAGATCGTAAAGATTGCGAGTAAGAAATTGTGTAAGTTTCCAGAGGATCGTTTCTTTTTTGTCATTTAACAGTTTCTAACCGACTGTCACACTCGAGAGAAATGTTCCTTTAGTTTGACTAATGTTTTCTACATGAAAGGATTACGCGGCTTTTAAACGGTTCCTCGTTTGCAATTTAAGTTTCGAGTTTTTTCACGTTTCGCGGATGTCATCTATTAATTTTTCCTCGGCTTCCAATTTAATTTCTTGATATACTTGGCTACTTGCACTCGTTTAGCCACTTCCACGAAGAGAATGTTAATAAACGAAATGTCCTCGTCGAGATAAATTCTTATTACCAGCGGCATTAACGAATTAATAAGATGTCCTTCTCATTAATATTTCAGAAGCATTGGTATTCCGCATAATCACGAATAATATTAAATTTTAATTAGTCTTATACAACCGTTTAAACAAATATAGAACACGCTTAACGATCATAGCGAACCGTAATATGGAATCTAATCTTTCTCGAAATTAATAAAACGTCTTATAAAGTAATTTATCCGATTGAACGTTTGTACGATCAATCGACCGTTCATTCGGAAGCTTTACAAAAAGTTGAAAAAACTTTGTTCTCTTCTTTTCGTTCGTACGATTATAAGAGATAAATTTGACGAGGCAATCGTATATCATTTGCTATTAGCGAACAAAGGAATTATTAACACGAACGCTCAACCACGAGTTTATTCGATGCTCTGGTGTATCGTTCGGCAAATGTGTCAAACGATTCAGGTAAATTACAATTAATAATATAATTTTTTTGCTAATTATCAGATGTATAGTTCCACGAATTATTCTTGTTAATGGTTGTGTAGCATGAAGAGGGCTTCAAAAGCTCACGGTCGAAACGTTACTTTGTAATAAGCTCTCTGTTTTGTACGACAAATCCGCGCCACAGATTACGCACGATTGGATACTCGATAAAGCAATTATTCAACGCGCAAAACGTTTTGAAGTTACAAACGACCGCTCTTCGGACATTACCCCGATGATATCAAACCATTTATGCATTAAGGAACCGAGCGTGTGTGGCGCGTACGTGATTCGTTTCGACTGCGCCCCCGCGATCACTATTTTCGTCTCGCGATCGTCGGGTGGAAAAATCTGTTCCGCGGCGGGTTTTGTCCAGCACAAACGGGGTGAAATCGTGTCGTCTTGGTGAACCCGCCGTATAGAAAGTTTTTCATCCGCCCGCAATCGTCGCCCCGGAGGAGATCCACGGAAGGTACATTTAACGGGGATCGTTGAAAAGTTCCCAGAGTGCAGCGGCTCTTGCGAAATCGAATAACGCGAGGCGGTATTTCTACTTTGTTCGTCTCTTTCCCTCCCACGACACTTTGTCCGCGAAAGTTACGCTCGAGTCAAAACACGGCTCAGCGCCGTTCGATTTCCAACTGCGATTTCTCAACTCTCGGGGATCGAGTGTCGAGCGCATTCGCGAAGACGAACGACGTGTCGCTGAGGAAAGGTCCGTCGGTTTCCAAAGAACTTCCAAAAGGGAACGGGAATGGAGATTTCGAGACCCAGGGTTTCCAATTCTGGCTGTTAATTAGACTTTTCTCTTAATTTTTCGAGCCATATTACTGCGATTGTTCGCCACTGATCCAGAGTTTTCACACTTCGGGACGCTTTAATCTTTTATCGGACACACCACGAACCACATCAGAGTCTCCGTTAAATCGAACGAAATATAAGAATTCTTAACAAGAATTAATGTTTTTACCAAATTTAAAAATTTTATACTTTTCACAGAGAAATTTTGAATTTCGCTCGACGCGTTAAACGATCTCCAGCCCTAAAATCGAACTCGCTTCGAAGACACGTTGGGGATTAAACAAAGCCCGAGGAAGTACATCCTTTCCTCGATCAGTGACAATGTAAAATTAAAATCACTGGTAGATTCTACTTCTGTGGGGATTTAAAACCCTCGATATACTTTCTTTCAATTTTTGTTAAAAGTTCTCTGAATAAAAAAAAAAAGAATGAAATGTATTTTGTAGACATTTGAGGAAGAAGAGATCGCGTAGATCCAGTGCGCGTCCCTGCGGCTGTTCCTTACCGGTCACGAAAACGGCGAACACGATGAAAAGCGACACGGCGATGGTAGGACGCGCTTCTCGATGTCTTGCGACACTTCTCATGATGTCTCCGTGTTCTGTTTCAGCGATTACACACTCATACGCGTCCGTTCACGGATCACAGCTCCGTGTTCATCTCAGGACATCCGGTTCCTTCGATCGTCACACCTACCCGTCGATCCATTCACCAAAAACACTTCACTGAATTTTTTTTTTTTTAAATTCGTCGTCCGTTTGGTGGAAAATCCTCTGGCAAACTGGGCCCTATAGAAATAAAATCCTGGCCCGATAGAAACTGTTCGCCGCGTGGAGCGCGTGGCTGGGGAAATCACCGCGAAACGAGACGTTTAGCGTGGCATAAACGATTCGACGATCTCTCGTCGGCGATGGCGCGCCGCGCGTCTCAGGATGACGTGACGACAAAGAGCTCTTCCGGTCGACGTACAAGCGGCTACTGAGGCTCCCGCCGCAAGCACGGAGAGCTTCCAGTGCGTCGACTCGGTCGTGCAACCCGAAAGCTCGTTTCTCTCCCCTCCGCCCTCCCTCACACCCCTTACACACCCCCCTGTCGCCTCGTTCTCTTCTTCACCCCTCTTCTGCGCCCCCCTTCGTTTCGCCCCCTCGGCCATTTTAGCGTCGTCGTCGCGATCAGCCGCCCCAGTGCGGGCTGCGCGCGCGAGAGAGCTTTTGCGTCCTAAAGCTGGATAGCTCGGGGAAGGGGTGATTGATTGGCGCTGAAACTTCGCGACTGATTGAATCTTTTTTACGTTTCAATATCGGTATCCTCGAGTGGGATGTATGCCACGCTGAAACAGAGTGGCTGGGATTCGCGTGTACAGGGATATTAAGTTCCGCGAAGATGGGGCCTCGATTCGAAGGGTAAATTTCGTGGTCGTCCCTTTACCGATCGGCCGACGGAATCACGGCCGGGTTCAACGACCAAGACGATACGCGATCGTTCTGATTTTCTCCCTTTTTTCTTTATTTTACAACTTAGGGGAGGATACGTTTACAACCATCGTGTCATGCATGGCGATTTCACGCGGAATCGATGTTTCGTATTAATTTTTTTGGTTATTAGTGATTTCTATCGATATTACACCTAAATTATTTATGTCATTTTGAAGGGAATTTCTATTGGCTATTTATTATGCAAGTAAACTATACTTGTAGGTAATTTGGAGCTATAGTGGTACTATCGATCGGTTAGCCAAACATAAAACGTAGCACAAATAGTTTAAAATTGAACCCATCAACATTGAAAAACGAGACCATGTACTCTATGCGCTGCACTCAACCATATACTCAACACTCTTTGTACTGCGTTTCAAAGAATTTGGGTAGCTAGGTTGCGAGTCACCCTTACACGTAGCCGGGACGACATAAGAGTGGATCTATTAGGCCAAGTTCCCATACGTGTAACGTGTGGTGCAAGGGACGATTAAAAGAAGACACCTCTTGAGCTCGTGGTACCTTTTAAAAGCGACCCTCTTTAAGCGTTTCAAGTGGTTTTGCGCCATCCGTTGTACATATGGGAACGCAGCCTTAGAGTAAATTAATGACGTGCAACCCCTTCAGTCGTGAAGATCGATTAGTGACACGTTCCGTATAATAAGCGAATATTGCTACATTATAAAAAGCTGACGGAACTTTGATAAATTAGAATTTACGAATGGGAGAAGTGGAATTGCCTGTTCTAGTCAGACGAAGGAGAATACGGTGAAATTTTCATTAACTAGTTTGATTAAAAAATGGTTATTAAAGAATTTTCAAATAGTGAAATATTCACTTTTTTTAAGATTGAACAAAATAATCGAAATAAAAAATTCTGTAAAAACTCTGTCTTTCTATCGTGGCTCTGTTTTAAATAATAATTTATGGCACAATGGCTGCCACTCAAATTTACAGGTTCCAAATATGACACAGAATTTCTTTATTTTTTTTTACATCAAATAAAAATAACTGAAAAATAAAAAAGTACCTCTAGTGTTTCAAAAAATCTTGACAACAAATTTAAAAAACTTGAGATTTTGGTATTTTTCTAAATTTCAAAATAAAGCTTTACAAATTTATTGTAAGCTTTTTAACAATGCAGAATCGGATTTTAGTTATTTCTTGATTTTGCACCGTGGTTATTTTCTACTAATCGTAAAAGGAAATGCTAGATCACGCTTTCTTTGCGATCTCTTGAGGTGATTGAGATTTGGATACGATAATAGAAAGGCCAATCAAAGATCGGTACATGTTTCATTCGCTGTGGTACGTTTGGTGGTCAGGTTAACGATTCGAGGACATGCACTTAGAAAAGGCAATTCTGAAGAAACGACCCCAACTTTGCGAGGATCCGTTAAGACCTCTATTAAACGTTTGTCTAGCTCCGAGTTTATGGTACCGGAATTGTTATTGAGAGTCTCAGAGTAAACTTTGGTCTCGGGGCTTGGAATGTACAATAATTAAACGTTCTTCAGAGACCTTGATTCAGAAATTAGTTCTGTGAAATGTTACAACCGAACGGTACGCTTTATAAATGCCAGTCCATCAAAAAAGTTTTTCATTTTCCGTAACTCCAACGATGAAGGTCAGATATAAATCATTTTTACGTTACCATATTTAAAAACATAATATTCGTTATCAGTGAAAAGAACAAAAATTCTTACATTCTTGTTCTGTCAAACGTCTATTTTTTGGAATAATAATTGTCTTTGCAAAATTGAAATGAACCGCAGACTTTTTTTCTCGATAGGGTGGTGATTTTTTCTATGCGGTACGATGAAATGCATCCCTGAACCATAACACCTTGCTCCGCTGATTTTAATGTCGGTTTGGCACACTTGTTCGACAAAGATTCGCTCTTTTTCTCCAGACATATGTACATACATTCTACCGTGGCTGTGCTTCATGCGAATCATCGATTTGTCGGTTCGAAGCACCTTTTCCCAGCATTCTGGTGGTTTTAATCATTTTAACACATGCCCTTCATAAAATCGAACACGTTTCTTTTCATATTTATCCTACTCGTGTAATTTAATTTTCTTGCAACGTGACCATGTTGTGTTCGTTTGTACAGGCGATGGAGTATCTGTGTTTTCTATTTTTAATTTTGCCCTATATTTTAAGAGTTGATAAATGGGACATCGAACGTGGATATATAGGAAATATTTTAAACAGCTGCTGGTATTTTATTATAATATTTAGTGAAATAATTATTTAAGAAAGAATGTTTGACATGGCAACGTTTACACGCGTCTTATTACTAGCTCTCGGAACTTCGGGAGAGTGTTTTATGAATGACAAGTTTTGGAATACTCGACAGGCGATAATGGAGTAGTCTTAGATCTTAGGATCCAAATTGCTCGCTTGGAGACTAAGCAATTGGCCCTACACATCCTATCCATTTCCTGAAGTGTGTTAGAGTATCATCGTGCAGTAATCAGATACAACATTTAGTAACAATGATAATTTAACCTGTAACTATATGTATAGTGATCTAGTAAAGCATTGCAATATGATGCCTCTAACATTGAACACGTTTCTTTTTATATTTGTCCTACTAGTGTAATTTAATTTTCTTGCAACGTGGCCATGTTGTGTTCGTTTGTATAGGTGATGGAGCATCTTTAGTATCATAGGGAGAATAGAAAAATTGACTGCTGAGCAAATTATTTAAATAAGCTGCAGTTCATTTCTAAGAGAAAATACTTAATATTTTCCTGTACGAATTTCTTGTATCTTAGAAAAAAGCTCTCGTCCCACTATTTAATATACAAAAATGCATTTTAATTTTGACGTTAATCGTTCTTCTTCTTCGTTCAGACATGATATAAATGACTTACTAGTACCATGTCAGAAGGAATCTAGCGATCACGATCATCTATACGGAAACAACTGGATATCACGAACAGTTACATTAATTAGGGCCGGATGGATGAGTCGTATACGAGTGAGTGGACTCTACTCAGGATACAATACTACGTGGCTAGAAATGATTGAAGCAAAACACAAGAATGATATTTCGTACAACTGTCTGCATTTTTCTTAAAGCGTTTTAATTACAGCATAAATACTGTTTTTTCAATGTCAATTAGTGATCAGTACTTGTGTGTAAAAAAATTATACTTAAAGTTGGAATTATTTTAAAGAATACCACGAATAATATGAATTCCAATCTAGTGTCGTTCTTGCATTCGATTCTACAGATTTCGATGTTGATATTATTTAACAAACAAATGAATTTCAAATCGGTTAAGCCTTTATTTAAATGAGATCAACGATATATGTATATACAGTTCATCATTAATTATCGCTTAACATGGTCGTGCACGTTCACGAATTACCGATTCAAAAAGATTTTCATTGTGATTGCCTGACAATATGTATTTGGTTAAACGATCGATAATTATACGTTTATTTATTGCGTATTAAACGAAGTTAGGTTGCGTCTGGCTTTGGATTTTAACGAAACTGTGACGTATTGTTGCATTCGAGTATTTCATATCTTTTAATCATTTTATGAATAGAACACGTTTGAAACCACTGTTAAGAATAAAAATGAGACGAAATTTATTCTGGCTAAATATTCGTCGTAGGCATTGCCAAAATATTTCTAGTAGAGAAATCAAAATAAATAGTGTAGTCAGCCAGAATATTAATATTTACTGCACTACAAAGTTTTAAATAGAATAAATGATCGTGTTCATATTTCTCTTTCATTTTTACCAGAATTAGTTAAATTCAAAAGCCTCAAAAACATGGCCTTCTAACCCTCGTACTTCTGTAGTGCGTCTTAAAAAAAACAATACCAAATCAAATGACGCGCATACCACCCACACCGAAGTTTGTTTTTGTTTCCATTTCCACGTGGATAAATAAACGTAAAAAATTTGTTTCGCGTAAAAATGTTCTTTGACAAAGGATATATCATGATTTTACAAACACACGGTACAAAGAATGAAGTATTTCGGAGAATCACTGCGCAGCTACAACGTTGACAATTTTCTTCGAGAACTTTTTCCCCCTAAATTCTCGCAGGAAGTCTTTTCCTAGAATACCCAGAGGCACGTTCAGTCAAAATATCGGCCAGAGCAGTTTGTATTTCCATACGACAGAACACGAAAGCATTCGCGATCTCGCAGAAGCTGATTCTGCATCAGCGGACAAATATCACGCTTAAAGTGAGTCTAGCACTTGCTTGATGACTGACGTTTCCGCCATGCTTCCCGGTAATATTCGCAGTCTTTTGCTGCAGGTGAAGAAGCCTACCTGAATCTCACGGAAGCGCGTTAAAGTGCAAGTTAATTTGTCATTCTGCTTTTATGCAACAAAAAAAACTCTCCTCTTTTTCGACTGTCTAATATCTCAATCGTTGCGTCAGCGTGTAAAAAGATCGGGAATTAGAGACGACTTTCACGATTCGTAATAACGAGTACCTTT